TATTAGACTTGGCGCTTCATGTTCAGGACAGGAATATCATGAACATGAAGCGCCAAGTCTAATAATTGATTGTTGGCTACTTCTCTGGTCTTAATCTGCATCGAATTGGGAGCCCTTTTCCACGGTTTGCCACCAACTCTACAAACTGCCAGGATCTGAAAAGTAAAACTCCACCCCCACGGAGCTTTAAAACAACAAGGTTCAAGGTGAGGATGCTGCTACACTGAGTTAGGATGATTGCTTGAATGCTACATGGAGGACCAAGAAATGCCACATTACCTCCAACAACAGGCTCTTCCAGGCAGCGTCGAAATGTGGTATTTACAGCTTCAACCCAAGGAAAATCCCCAGAAACATGCAGTATAACAACCAGTTCAGATTAAAGCGAACCTATTATTTATTCATACGTCACACGAATCAGCATCACAATATTTAGAGTAAAAAGGTACTTCTTGTCCAACCTATACTGAAGATCACATGGTCTCCTGGCTGCCATAGGATTGGGAGTGTTGCCCATCATAAGAGACTACCGAGGCAGCACCAACACCATTGATCATATGTAGTCTGCAATATACAGTACGCTATGGGTAATGCAACTGGAGGAATGACATCCTGCTTGGTGGGCAGATCCAGGAATCTGAACAGATCTCGCAACTGGTGATGTGTACCTTAAGGCAGGAGGAAGGCAACCACGGCACTCCAGCTGTGGTGGAACTACAAATCCCACAAGGCATTGCAAGACTCTGATAGTCATGACTGCCAGGGACATGATTGGATTTGTAATTTCACCCCAGCTGGAGCGTCACGGTTGCCTACCCCTACATTAAGGTATGTTGTAAACCTGCCGGTGACTCGACCCACTAGCATCCACAAAGCATCAGCTAGCAATGTCAAAGGAGACAAGATATGAGACTTCATCAGGCAAACCTGCAGTAAAGCTGCCGGGCTGCCCATGACGTGGTTAACTGCGACTGTGTGAGGGATGAAGACATAAAGTTGGCTCAGGCTGTGCAGGCACTCCAGCTGCTTGAACAGGGGCCAGCAATAATACTACAGCGCTCCAGTGATAGGGGAGAAGTGTGACCACCAGAGCTACAACTTCTGTATCCTGCCAGATGCATTACAGGGGCTCTCCAGTGACCGCGGCCAGGCTGGTGGTACTCTCATTTTGCTATGTTGATATGCTGAGGGCTGGAAGCATCAGGGCAGATTGATAAGAGTTTCAGTGCCCACTCAAGGTTTAAGATTAACCAGTCCTGTAAAAAAACATGGCTAGCTAACTGTAATCCCTAAGCATAGGCACCACTAGTTGATTGCATGTCCCTCTCATTGTTGCCAAATCTTTTTCAATGTGGCCAAGGAGCCCCATAACCCAGCACAGTCTGGTACGTCTTCTTGCCTTCCGACAATGCAACGGAAATGCCCTTCTGTTGGTCACTCGGAGACCTGCTTGCATTTTGGGATGGCGAGGGCTCCCACTGCGTGTGCCAGAGTTTTGGGGGTCTCCTGGGTTGCCCTGAAGACTCCCTATAACAGGTACATGCAGGCGTACCTTTAAGGACTAGCATTAATAGGGTAAGATATCACAAGAAGTTCTCTTTTGGATCCGATTTGCTGAATGTCAAAATGCAGCCAATTACCTAAAGCTTGTCAGGAGCATGCAGTGGCTTGTGAGCCCCATGCTACTTGTCTTGTCCTTTTCTTTATTATGGCAGTCATGGTGGATTGCTAGGCTGGCCACATTAGCAGATCTCTTGTTGAGAACATTGAGTGGTAAAAGATCTCCTTCTGAGATTTGCTGAGATAGCTGCACAATTAGAATCCACAGCAACCTTCACACCCGCTTTGTCCGTGGTGCATGCAGCTCAGTTTAATGCAGCTAAATTGTAAGCACAAAAGGTTTTCATATTTTAATGGTCCAAAAGGTAAACTTGGCCTTTAAACACTATTATCAGCCATGCTCAGTTTACTTTTCTAAACTACAGAACCCTCCAATGTTATGGACAGGGGAAGGTGTCCAGTCCTAACATGCTTCTTGCTCTAGGGAACAGCCCTGTTCCTCTATGGCAGGGGTCAGCAACCTTAAACACTCAAAGAGCCATTTGGACCCGTTTCCCACAGAAAAGAAAACACCGGGAGCCACAAAACCCTTTTGACATCTAAAATGAAGATAACACTCCATATATCGTTTTTTTTAACCTTTATGCTATGTATAGCATGTATATAGGTATATGTGGGCTTAGTAACACTCTAGGCTTAGTAACGCACTGGTCTCTGGACTCACCTGAGACCCTGCAGAGCCCACATGAGAGTGGCCTTGCAGAGCACACCATAGATCTTGCACAGCCCATCTGAGACTCTCTATGGTGGGTTTAGGTGGGCTTGTCGCCAGGGTCCCCTTTTCCCTGTACCTCCTCTCAGCTCCTCTTACCTGCTGCTGCTGGGGCCTGGCCTCCTTCACCCCCTCCCCTGTCGCCTCTGCCATGCCGCCTCTGGTACAGCTGATACTCGTATAAGAGGCCCCCCAGGCTGCCCAGAACCCTCACATGGGTACTGGCCGAACCCCCCTGATGGTGGCGTTCTATCAAACTTTGTAAAACAGTAGAAAGGTATCATGGCACACTCACAAGCCAGCATGTAAAAAAACTTGTCTCACCACTAAGGTTAATAACAGAGGTTTGGATACACGTCTTCTGCAGAAAATGTGAAAGCCACACAGCCACAGTGTTTTACTGTTCAAAGCCCATTTCGTGTGCACCTTACTGTATAGCTGGTGACAAATTGTTGAGTGCGTTTGTCATTTGTTTTGCTTGACTGATTTGGTGCAGTGATGCATGGGGGTTCTCAGCTGCCATTGGGATGTGTGGGATCCCTTGTGTGTTCCTGTGCCTTTTAAGGGAGGTCGGGCTTCCTCCTGACAAACCTGCACCCAATTTGATATCTTCTGCCCCCATGTGCTCCAAGATGGAGACTCTCATAGTTTAGAGTTAGGACCGCACTATAAGAGGTGCCTTGGCGTGGCTGTGCGGCTTTCTGCAGAAGATGTGTTTCCAAACGTAGACACAAACATTGATAGAACAGCGGCCATGTCTAATCATTTATTTAGAGAAATAGATTATAATAGAGAACATTACATTGTAATGTTCCCCATTATAATCAATTTTTCTAATTAAATGAAATAACAGCACACCGTGTGCAGTTACACCCGGACCTCACTGGGCCCCCTCAGGCCCCGAGGCACTGGCGGTAGTTCCGCCCCTGGACAGGGAGCCACAGCAGAGGGATGAAAGAGCCACATGCGGCTCCGGAGCCGCAGGTTGCAGACCCCTGCTTTATGGGTACAGTCAGGGGCGCCGACAGGGAGGTACAGGCAGCCTGTAACGGGCCCCATCAAGTCAGCAGGGGGGCTCAAACCCAGCACAGGCTGCCTCTAAGGAAGGAGGATGGCCCTGCCCACATGTGATAGC